TGGCGCTTTCTCTCGGCCACGGCTGCTGACTCGGAAATCCCCAGTCGACCGCGCCAGAGGCGTGAACGGACTGCACGACCTGAGGACTCGATCTTGTCCTCTCTCTACTTGCAACTCAGATTTGTACCATTCTCAGTACAGGTCACCAACTCCCTGTGCTCACACCCCGCAGCACGATGACACCATGCAATGCGAAGTGGTGTGCGTTTTCTGCGTGTTGCATGAACTGCGACATCCGCTGCTGTCCTCTGAGTCCGTTTCAACGTGCTGTCATTTTCCGCTTCTTTTGGCTGCTGTCGGCTATGGTTCTTGCAGCACTCAATTGTATTATGATTCAATTGGTTCTCAGATTCTGGAGAGCAACTGCAAAGCAGCTAATGCATGAAGATGTTGACAAACATGCTCGATGTCCATGCACAAGCTTATAGGTGAAGAACAACCGGACAGAACTTGCACAAGCACAGTGAGCGGTAGAGCTCAACTCTTTGCTGGCTGGGCAGTCATTTGGTCTTAGCTTTTCGCTCGATTCGCACAACCTCTTCTCCAGCGACAACGACTGATGCCAATATGCTCGTGGTGCTTAGCAGAAGATGGATTGGACTTACTTGCACGCCGCACCTTAAACATATATGTATGTGTATATCTCTCTCGCACTCTCTCTCTCCCTCTCTCATCAGGAAAACATGTCTATCGGGCGGCGTTGGTGCCTGCGTGCCTGGACTGTCCTCTCCGTCTCTGTGGTTTTTGCTCCTCTCCTCAGTTCTTGAACGCCGTGCTCTCAGCTACTTAACTACTACATACCTGTACCGAAAACATTGCAAGTACCTGTACATTGAGTGCTGCTGCTGGCATGTCCTCTCAGCAACATGCACCGATGGGCAAACCGGAATCTGATGGAGGAAAGGAAACAAGCAACCTTGAGACAGAAAAGACTAGATGATGGGGTGCATGATTTAGTGGTTCCGGATGTTCCGGCGCGGTACAGGCAGGAGAAGCAGTGTGCTTTCGGTCCGTTGGACACACTGCAGCTTTTTGCAGCATGTTCTAATTCCAAAGTCGTCAGTGCTTTGAAACCTCCGGACCCTGAAGTCCTGCGCTCCCTCGGCTCCCGAACATCTCAGGGAGAGCACAGTCGGGCACTGTCCCTGAACTTCTGGCTTTCAAGGGTCAACTAACGCACACATGCGGCATCGTTACTCTCTGACAGTGTCCCCCTGAGATTTTATTCAGCTTTCTTCTACCAAAGAGAAGTCTGCCTTGTGAGAGTTAAGACACGCAAAAGCAGTAAAGACAGCTCATCTGAATCACAGAGGTGGTCAATCCTTGACACGAGACCAATCCCAACGTCTGTGGGTGCCAGCACTAGAACTGAGTTCACATCTCTTGGGAAACGGATGAGTTCTGTCGCTTCAAGGTTCGACGGGAAAGAACACGGCTTCTCTCGTTTCAATTCGGGAAGAAGTTGAGCTCCATTTCTCGCAACTGAATCTTGTGTTTAACAAGGAGGCTTTTCAATTCTTGAAAGCATGTTAGAAGTCAAAGTGGGAGCTGCCCCGCTTCCCAAGATGCAGATCCAAGTCTGAAATTAGCTCGACTCCGTCGTGAAAAAAAGGGAATTTTCGTTCTTGTGCTGAGGATTAGGGGGTCTCGAACAGAACAAAAATCTGTGCATTCTCTTGTTCGCAAGAGATCCTGCGACATGACAAGCAGACATGCTCTGTCATATGATGTTGCGCAGCAGGACAGTTGTCTCAGTTTCGGAGGTACAGACACCACTTCTTTCTTACGGGCTGAGGGTCGCGGGCATTCACAGCTCTCTGGCCTCGGCTCTCCTACCCCTCAAACAGCCCCCAGAAGGAGCTCATGAACTTCTGGAAACTGAAACCAATCCGCATTATTCCGCACCTGTCAATATGCTCTGCAAGTTGTCAGGGGTTGCATATCCATACCTGGCAAGACTGCGGGAACAACAACATCTGCAAGAAATGATTCAAGTGATGCGAGCGAAGACCATCCAAAATCTGCAACGACCCACAACAAAATCTACCGGGTTGCCAATGCCCGTCGTCTTTGCTGGCCTGTCGACTTGACAGAACAGCGTTCGCTGACTACATCATGCTGCATCATCATGCTTTAAACGATGACTGTAGAAGACCAGTCATAAACAAACAACCTCGCAGGAAGAGCCGGGCGAAACACACTCTATGCCTCTATGCTTAGACTGGCTTCAACCAGGCTCGGCCAAGCCTTTCCAGAATAGATGATGAGGTTGCCAGCATACTTGTGGCCGCCGACGTGCGAACATTTGCGGACTTGCATGGCGGGTGCTGCGCCAGCCCTTTGCAAAACGGAAGCACTGGAGTTGACGCATGTCGCGGTCAGAGAAACAAGTGCACCAACCGCATCCATGCCAAGGTTCTTCACCAATCGAGTTGCCGATTCCACTAGTCTCGGCCCGCAATGCCCGCATCGCTCATCGCGCTTTGTGTGAGCACAAACGAAGGCGAAGCCGTCTTCCTCGACAACAGTACCGAAAACGCGAGCAGCGGGTCGGCTTTGAATGCGCTTATAACCAGTGGCGCATCAGGACGTGAGACTGCACAACGTTGGAGTTCGGGCGGTTTGCAGGCTTCACAGGGCACCAGGTTCTTCCTCCTACACTAGCTGTCGGCGTGCCCAATTTCCAGCGCATGACCAGGATGCACAAACTTGAACAGACTTAACAGGCAGGGGACAGAAGGACCTAACGAACACATGTAAAGCAGAGATTAACCTTCGAACTACGTTCGAATGTCACATGCTCCAATGCAAGCCGAACGGCAATATCTTGCACAGAACTGCCTGCACTTTCACGTGGCCAGCATTCCATGCATGCACATGCACAGAGCAACTCTGAGGCTTGCCTGGTTTGTTGTGATCGACGCCGCCGGTCAAACAGCGGACCAACTCTGGAATTCCTCTGCTTACACTGAGCTTGTAAGTGGGCGTACAAATCGAAACAGGCGTTGCTACGGCACCGACAAACAGCGCATGCGAGCGGGGTACTACAGCTCTCCTTGATGCCCGAACATGCCGAACTCGACTGTTGGCCGTGGATGCATGCCGCGTGATTTTTAATTCGCCGAGCTTGGACACATGTGGACACTGTTTTGGAGCAGTTGTCGCCGTCGCGGTGGTGGTAGAACTGGCCGATAGTAGCGGTAGCGGTGGCAGTCGTAGTAGTGCTAGCAGTCGTCGTCGTTGTCGTCCTCCTCGCGGTACTCGTGGTAGCAGTGGGTGGTAGTGGTAGTGGTAGCGGTAGCGGTAGCGGTAGCGGTAGCGGCAGCGGCAGCGGTAGCGGTGGCGGTAGCAGTAGCAGTAGCAGTAGCAGTAGCAGTAGCAGTAGTAGTAGTAGTAGTAGTAGTAGCAGTAGTAGCAGTAGTAGTAGTAGTAGTAGTAGTAGTAGTAGTAGTAGTAGTAGTAGTAGTAGTAGTAGTAGTAGTAGTAGTAGTAGTAGTTGTTAGTAGTAGTAGTAGTAGTAGTAGTAGTAGTAGTAGTAGTAGTAGTAGTAGTAGTAGTAGTAGTAGTAGTAGTAGTTAGTAGTAGTTAGAAGTAGTAGTAGTAGTAGTAGTAGTAGTAGTAGTAGTAGTAGTGGTGGTAGTGGTGGTAGTGGTGGTAGTAGTGGTAGTAGTGGTAGTAGTGGTAGTAGCAGCAGCAGCAGTAGCAGTAGTAGCAGTAGCAGTAGTAGCAGTAGCAGTAGCAGCAGCAGCAGCAGTAGCAGTAGCAGCAGTAGCAGTAGCAGCAGTAGCAGCAGTAGCAGCAGCAGCAGCAGTAGCAGTAGCAGCAGTAGCAGTAGCAGCAGTAGCAGCAGTAGCAGCAGTAGCAGCAGTAGCAGTAGCACCTTCAGTAGCAGTAGTAGCAGTAGCAGTAGCAGCAGGAGCAGCGGGAGCAGGAGCAGGAGCAGGAGCAGTAGCATTGGGAGTAGGAGTAGTAGTAGTAGTAGTTGTTGTTGTTGTAGTTCGTAAATAGTGGAGTGGTAGTGATCCTGATCGTGGAAAAGTAAAACACTAAAGTGGCAGAGTCAAATAGAGTAGATGTTGCATAGTCTGCTATGCTTATAGAACTGTCATACATGCTGTCCTCTCTCCGATGCATTGGGTTTCTGCTGAGATGTGCAGTGGGTGGCTATGCGATTAACAAAGCACCGAGGAATCGCTGACATGGTGGGGGCCCAAGGGCCAAAGCAAGAGAAACCCAGCCAGTCGGTCGATCGGTCGATCGGTCGATCGGTCGAGCTGCTAGCACCATCTCTTCCAACGTCACATCGGATGTAGTCTGGGAAGACGAGCACACTGCCTTCCTGCACAGCTGTCGATAATGGTACGGAATCTTATCATTACAGCGGAATCTGCCTCAGAGGTGCTGGTGGCCTCCACCAACGAAACCCGCACCTGAGCATCGGAAACAATGCTCAATGTGGCTCACAACTGCCAGACGCAGCCCAGCCTTCGACTTGATCTGCTTTTCTGCCTTGATGGCTTTGCTCAGACGTACTGGCAAGGTTCCTTCATGTTGCTCGTCGAAGGGATCTTCCGGCCAGTCAGATGCAAGACCCCAGACAAGGAAGACATGCTTGTCGTACGGTTTCACTGATCCCGCCAAGGGTTCAGAGTTTAGCTCAGGTCGTTTGAAGCCGACGCCGACTTCAGCCATCCAGGCGCAGGTACGCAGTAGCGATGGTGCCTTGAGCCAGTCTTGTCTGAGGGGCACCTGCTCAAGGATGGCTGTCTCATCTGGTGTTCGTCGGCATGCCAAATGGCTCAAGTACATCGCAAAACCGCATGCTCTCTTTTGCAACGCTGCGGTGAAACCTTCCCTGCCGCTCAGGCAAGCTTGAAAAGGTGCCAGTGATTTTCTGACGTCCACGTAGTCTTGACTGCACCGAGCGCGTCTTGTGTGCTTGCCCAAACAAGCAGTAGCACGTTGATGCAACCGTCACGGAGTGTTTCTTCCGTGCCTGCCTACACAAGCAACAGAGCATTAATGCAACCGTCGATGTCAGGATTGTTGGTGACCTGCAGGCGTACACAAGTTGCACGGCAAAAGGTTGACCGTGCCGTCATGCCCGTGCTCTGCGGTGCCGTTATAGGAACCGATTCAGCTACCTCGACAGCGCCTGATCAAGCGTCCAAGCTTACCCTCGAGAAAGAGATCGAGATCGACTGGACGTAAAGCAAAAGCTGTGCGATAGACCGAGCGTGCTACACTCGGCGGTACCGGAATTTTGGCGGCCTGTGCATACTTGGCCCATATGACCTGAAGGAAGGTTCAACACTACTCATGCAACGACATACAACCACTCACGAATACCACGAAGCGGAGCATGCATTCCGGCCTTCCCAGTCTGAGTTACGAGGCCAAGTTCAGAAACATTGACCTGGAGTAGGTTGTAACGAGCAGAGGAGGTTTCAAGGCTTCCTTCGCATCTCTGGCTCTGGCCTCTATGATGGTGCCCTTCGTGATGACCCCAAGAGAGGTGTAAAGAGCAGACTGGCGGGGCCACCACTAACTCTGTTTATGCTTGCGTTCAGCATCCACACCCAAGGCCTGCGGGTTCTTCTTGACGCTCACTATGTCCAGACAGAATGTCATCTTCAGCTCTGGATGAGTCACGTGCGCTTTCTTGAACCTGAACAGACAGCGGTCTCGGAGGTGCCGAAATAAGGCGAACTCCCGGTCCTCAAAGCCGCCGGGCGGATGTATCTTTCGAACTTCGGAGGCTTTCGCGTGAAGTTCTCGGCAGAATGGCATATGACTGCTGCTACATGACATCCCTCCGAAAACCGCGACAGTTTGCAAGGAGCGCCTCGCCCACAAATGAGACTTTGTTTACGACACGCTTCCAGGCCTAGCACAACAAGCTGTTAACAATGTCTTCATATGTGAAGTACCTGAGAAAGCCTTCTTCTTGCGCTTCCCTGACCGAAGGATTTTGAACATCTCATCCTCCGTCATGGCTTTCACCTGGCTTCAAGACTGCGGCACGAGAAACTCTGTAAGCTGTTTCCAAAGCTCCCAAGCCTTGGGGATCGGCACTTGCCACTTTCCTGCCTTCTCCTTTCTTTTTTGCTTGATCATATTCGAGAGCACCTTGTAACTTGTAACAGTCCCGCAACAGCTGAAGGACAGAGCTTCACGATTCCGCTTATCGTCACAAGATGTCCCGACCTCAACATGACCACCGCATGATGACTCATACCTCGTCTCCGGCCTTCGTTCTTCGCACCTGCTCTCTGTCCAACAGGTAAGCCGGGACCGCTCCAGGTTTCACCTTGCAGTCATCGAGGCACAACGTCAACGCTCGAATCTGCAAACGGCCCCGAGAACTTCACAGTCTATGCTGGACATAGCTCAGGCTCCTGTAGATGAACGTCGCGAGCATTGGCAGCATTGCACTTACGACTATGGCTAGCTGCAGTCCTTTACTGAAACAACACGAAGTGTCAGGAAGTCGACTAAGGAAGGCGATAGCCACGAGATGGGACACGATCTGCCGCTTGCTGCACACCATTGGCTCACTGTTCAGATCGAAAGTGCGACAGCGCGCTTGCGATCTCTCGGCTGCGCTGACTAGCCCCGCCTCGTCGGCATCTTTTGTTTTTGCATCCTTTTCCTGGTGAGCCTTTATTGTCTTCTTCATGGTAGCCTTTTCAGTGTACCTGGCAGCACAGGCTCATGACTCATTCAGTGCACATGCAAAGCGACGCCAACTTTGCGCCTCTTCTTCGTGAAGAGCTTCGCTTTGATTCCTCGAAGCTTTCGAGCCGTCTTTGCGATCTGACAGAACACATCATGAAGCTTGCTTAGGTCACCTCTACCTGCACACCCCCTCATACCGCCTATTGACGCCGATCGCCAAAGGGGTCTGGAATTGTCACTCGCAGGGTATCTCCGGGTTGGGGGTGTTGAGTTATGTGCCGTCCGTTGCAGGCCTGGCCTTCTTCGGCTCTCGTGCCTTCTTTTTGCGCATGCGCTCTTCATGGTCGAATCGACGCCCGAAGCGCTTGATCGACTCTTTGATGTACCTGGCCAACAACGGAGAAATCAGGCGCGGCCCTGCAGTGGTGAACTTCAAACTGAAGAGGCCCCTAGTAAGCCATCCTGTCGTTCAAGCTTTGAACGACAGGATGTCCTTCTGTCTCCGTCACGGCCCTAAAGTCCTAAAGATACTGCGTTTCTGGGGCCCTACGTCTCGAAGCTGGCCTGCTCGCCCTTTTTTCTACTGTGTTTCGTACTGTCGTACTAGTTGAAAGCAGCATCAGGCCCTGTGCTGCAACGTGTGCAATCTGTGTCTCGTGACGAAAGTCAAAAATTGGGAAGGAAAGAGCTTCCTGCATGAAAAGTTTGAACATCAAGAAACAGCTAACTGCGCACTCATTCTGCGGCATTGACCTTCACGGAAGGATGTGTGGCAATCTTGAGCTGCTTGATGCTTGCATTGCATGCCAGGTCCGAGTGCCAGGCAGCCAGGAGCCGGGCTCATCGGGTCGCTGAGGGCTCCTAACTTTCTCCTTTTCACTTGAGCACGGAAGCGGAAACGACAGAGCTGATGCGCCATGCATCGCCATGCGGCGACCTGCATTCCGTTCGTGTCCATCGAGATTCATGTTTTGTCCATGTCAGCTTCATGGCTACTCCGGGCCCATCAAGTGGGAGAAACGTCCGAAAAGCCACTGCCTCGCGGCGAAGTCAAAGGCTCTGAAATACGGAGCACACTCTTCTGGAATAGGCAGATACTCGGTTTGCCCCGGCTTGCCTTGACTTGAAAGTGCCAACCTGGCGCGAATTCTGGGGGTGCTAAAAGACTGCTGCTCTGCATCAGTTGAAAGTCTGAGAAGGAAACGGCGAAGACGCAGATGTCCTGGTAAGCACAAAATTTCTGGGCCAGCCAGGGCAATCTTCAGTAGGACATGTCAGGCTGCAAGCATGGGAAGTGCCCTGATCCACCTTGGGTGCATCGCGCACGCTATCCACGAGGGTATCTCCTAGCCCGGAAGAAAAGGTGCAAAGGTGCATAATCCTATGCAAGTCGAAAAACACTCTCATTTCCAAGAACATGAACTCCCAGCGTCCTTGAAGGTCTCATCTTCAGGCGTGTTGGAGACCAGAGTTGCCGACAGAATGCTGGCATTGCCTAATGCGGCTTCAGAAAAACGCTGTCCACATTCAACTCCATGAACAATGAAGAAACCTCAGCTAGGACGATTGCTGTCCCTGTCTCTGCCAGGGAGTGAGGCTTGACCTGTCAAGATGGAACTTCTTCTGGTGCCAACCCTCGTGCGATCTCTAGTTCTGGCAGAGTTGCTCTCGGTGTCTGAGATGTCATGGTCCGAACACGGACCTCTTCTCAAGGCCTCGACACATCTGCGACAATGCAGCCAAGTCCCTCATGTCTGGCCTTTTTGCAATGTACTTGCAATGTGTTCGGTGCTTGAAGTGGCTGTCTTGAAAAAGCCTACCCCTGCCTTTCTCAGAAGACACCCGATAAAAACGGAAACTTGTGCAAAACTCATGCCTGTGTCATCTTATCCACTCTCGTCTCCGTTGAGGAACATCTGAAGTACTGGCAGTACTTGTAATGTATGTATACGGACATCCAACGACCAAGACCGTTGCCTTTGATGTCCAGCGAACACGTTGCTGGCATTGCAACACTGGCTTAACGCCGAAGCAGATTGGCGAGGGCTGTCTCTTTTGTCCTGTTGCCGGGTTTGTTTCGTAGAGTTGAACTCGAGTCCCAATCTGCCGAATCCGTGTCCGGGTTGGATGGTCTTAGACTTGGTTTTCCTGCGAAAACGAGCTGGTACAAGTCCTGGCCTCTTTTCGTGTGAAGAGAATCAGGTCCGGCCTCACTGCGCTGTCGCTACACCGCTACACACCGGCAGCCGCAAGGAGCGACTGCGTGAAACTTAGACCGGTGCGCCATGTTCACGGGAATGCTGCCCTCAAGAGAATGAGTGGACACGTCAGAGCAATCGAAGCAAGAGCGTCTGCCACAGTAGTGCCTCGATCGGCAACAGCTGCGGAAGTTGTTGATTCAGCATCTCAAGCATCAACTTCCTGCTAGGCCAGCACCATTGACCATTTCAGAACTCAGAAACCCTGGCGGGCGGTTTCACTTGCAATTACTAAAACTCCTGCAGTCCCCAGCACAGAGCGAGCCGCGGAAGTGTTCCCGCGTCTCCATGGTCTGGATTCACTCTTGGAATGAAGTGCTCAAAACGAACCCAAGAATCCCGGAATGAAACTAGCTACAAACACGCAGCAGGCGCCCGAATGATGACTCTTTGAGTCACTTCCAGTGGCACTTGTCTGTGAAGCGGGTGCTCAGTCCAGAATATCAACCGGCAAACTGCTACCTAGGATGCTCTGGTAGCCCGCCTACCCTGTCAGCTTTGTGTTCGCAGCATGAACTGTGGACTGAAGGACGTGATTTCATCCCTACCTGTGCAAACAGCTGCACAGACCGCTGATGGCGGCGGTGGTGGTGGAGGTCGGCAGAGGAGTAATTAACGTAACAGCAATAAAACATAACAACAACAGTAGTGTAGCAGTAGCTGTTGTAGTTGTCGATGGCGACAAGTTTTGGTATTCGCGGAGTAGCGCCTGAACCCCAGATTCCTTCGACAGCGATGATCGTAAACTATGAAGTCTTGCAACATCCTGCAATCCCGGTGGCCGTCCTCGTCGCCTCAATGGCTCAGCCCTCCCTACACAACAACTTGCGATTGAATTATTCAAAGTTTTCGGGCTTGAGACTAGGCCAGGCCTTCAATGTAAACTTCGGAGACGACTTCCTGCATGACGACGGTAGGTAGCCGAACTTGACCTCCGGAATCAGGTGACCCACATCGCCCGGACTGGACTGTCCACTTCGCATGCAAGACACCACCTATCTAGAGTTAAGACACCTACAGCTCCAATTCAACTGCCCAACGACACATTGCCGTTTGCGAGTCCCGAAGGTGTGGTCGGCGAAACTAGGACGACGAGACCGCCTTTCTGCCGTAGCGACAGCTCGCTCAAGTTGTGCATCAACATCGGCGTGGTCAAGTTTCATGGCTTCAACACGAAGCAGTCTTCCTGCCGACCCCGCCCTGGTCAGGCTCGAAGATGGTGGTAGTGCCATGTCCAACACTACTGCCAAGTGCCAAAGCACAGCGTCTGGCAGCAGGGAAGACCACAGAAACCCAAAATCAGCGCTCCACAGCTTCCATTGCTCTCGCTGCGATCTGGGTACAGTGCAAGAAAATTTTTTGCCATCACACGAGTGATGAGGATCCAGCAGCACAGGCTGTTTAGCTGCTGTGCGAGGTCCACTTCAATTGCCGATGGAGGAGGCAGGTGCAACGTAGTTCGCCACACGTGCCCACCTCTTGAACGCCCGCACTGTACAAGCTTGATGCTATTATCGGTGGCTCGCCCTCAGGTTGGAGGGGTCGTGGGGCAACTCGTCGTGGTTACCTTGCACACACCCAGGTGCAGTGCACGCTTGCCGAGGGAGAGAGGGAGTGGTGGGAGGCAAGCGCGGGGATGCGGGCGAGGGGAGCAGGCAGTGATGGGCAATGAGACTCCTGGGCGGAGAGCCTGGCAGATCCCAAAACATAGGCACACTTTCTATGAAAAGTTCACTGGGGCGAAAGCGATACGCCCCGGGACCAGGAGTAGATGCACCCAACTCGGCCTGCCTTGGGAGAGCGCAGCACTGCTATCACGATTCTCACACTAAACGTGCTGCAGGTGCTACTATGCACAGTTGCATTTTGGCCGTGCTATTGTAGGATGTTCTCGTGGGTGAACACAGGCTTGTTGCGTTTCGTTCTGCCTGTAACGGGCTCGGGACATCGGGAGCGCAGGATTTCTGAGTATTCGTGCAGTGGTTCGCATGTCGTGGGTCTGCCCAAACCCTGAAAAGAACACTCTAAGGGTTACCGCATCTTGTACATGTATATACATAAAAACATATGTGTGTGTATATATATATTGCAGAAAACATACATAGGACCCATGACAAGCTCATGTTCTCGCGTACACAGCATGTTAAACGCAATTTACACGACATAAACCGCACCTCTTGTGTACTTCGTTAACTTCACAAGGCATTGTTACGCCACAGCAATAACTAAGCACGAAACATTGCATCACCGTGACCAAAAAGCCTTGCCTTCCATGGAAGAGCCAAGGCCTCATTATCAACCAATGCCTTGTGTTTAAGTGTCAACTCTTCGGAAGTAGTACATTGCTACTACATAAAGATATTCTCCTGCTGCATCCATTGATGCGAAATCCACCAACGGCTAGGGTCCGACATCTTCTACTAGGTTTTTGGGCGATTTGTTGACATTCACCCCTGTCAGGGTTCTGCGCACCACCCACTTATTTCAGGCGCTGGACCCATCATCTCCTCTTCACACCTTTGGGTTTAGGGAAATGCCGCAACAGAGTTGGGGCTTCAGGGACCGAATCACCCTTTCCGTCACATCCCCTTCGGTTTGGATCTGATCGGCCACGCATCGGAGTTGTCAGGCTTTGGGGCCTCAGGCACGTGTGTTGTGAGTTTGGCTTTCGGGTTCTTCACTCATCGCCTGGGAGAGCTGGGGCTGACTTATGTCGCTCAGAGCAAATTTCTATCCACAATCGTCTTGCTTGTAACTGGGGGTTTGGAGTTTGCCCCTTAAAGGTTTGGAATATGCAGGATATGGGGTCCCATATCTCCTAATTAGTGGGGTTTGGGTTTTGTTGGGGAGGGGGGGCGATCTTTTTCAGATCAAGGGCTCGCCAACCATCATCTCCTTTGAGGGTGCTGAGTCTGCCACCCATCATGTCTCCAGTTACACATCTTCCGCTTCACGGTTTGTCACCCATCATCTCTTGTGGGGTTTTGGGTTAGCCACCCAATCTATGTGGACGGTAATTTGGGTTCTGCGAAAGGTGCTCGTATTCACCTCCTTTGCAAACTTCATTTTGTTGCGTTGAAGGTTCTCCCCCCTTACTACATTCGGACTACCGCTTCGGTGGAGCCGATGGGCCGGCTGGAGACCAACACACCAACACACCATCACTCGTCACACCGAGCCCTCTCCAGCCCCTCCCATGCAAAAATTCACGGTCCCAGCAACAGGGAGCACGGTCACATAAGGTCCAAGATCTCCAACTGGCATGTAGGGCCAGTTGTTCCGAACGACTTACGTTTTTTTTACGGTGGTGCACCGCTGTGCCACTCACTCATTTTCGGGTTTTAGATTTACCAACATGAATGTATTGTTGGATTTGGACTTGTTGAATGAAGCACCTCTCTTGAGGTTTTCGGAAGTTGTGAGTAGTGTGCTCCCTTTTCCCACTGGGGCCGTCACCTGCCAGCTAGTGCTAGGGTTTAGAACGTCTTTTTGTGGAGCCGTCAACCCTTTTCACACGCCTGGAACAAGTAAGTCCGCATCATGCCCCAACTGCAATGGCACTGAGAGGCGCACAAGCGAGCTCTTTGTCGCGCATTGCCAAAGCCTGCAAATGAAAGAAGCGCAGTCCTAGAGGCATCAACTTGCACACGACATCCCCTAAGAGGCAATGCTCGGCTATGTGCTAAACCGAGGCGTCCGGGAGCTGGAACTTCGATGGTACTCCTGTCGCGAAAAGATGCGGTGCTAGTCCTTCCTGATATGCAGACGCTATCGCACGTTGAGGTGCATTGACACACATACACACATACATGTGTATGAATGCACGCATGCATGCATGCATGCAGTTGCATACAGTCACAGACAGCCAATGCCAAATGCAGAATACATGAATCAACAACGTTGTCAAATGAATACATGCATACGTACATAGACATACACACATAAGCGCAGATATACACACATGCACACATGAACATACCCATAGACACATACATACACACATACATGCATACATGCATGCATACATACAGACAATGTTACATAATTACATACACGCATACACACATGCATACATGCACACATTGCATGCATGCATACATACATGCAGATACACGTGCATCTACACATACACATGAACCTACACATACACATACACATACGCAGACACATGCACACACGCATACGCATGCACATGCACATGCACATACGCCTACACCTATACCTGCACGTGCATACACACACGCACATGCACAGACACCATACACATACACATACGCATACATAGACACTGCTGCAGTAGCACACACAAACAAACAACCAAACGAACAAGCAAACACACATACCAACATATGTTGGTGTCATGCTTCTCGTGACTCTTGCAAGTCTTCAGCATGCGGAGCGTCTCCGCTTTGGCAACTGTCAGTGTGACAGCCAGTGCTCAGGGACAGGGGCGAGAGAGAACTGCAGACAGGGGCTGAAGCGTGTGGTGTCGCAAGCTGAAACAGGCTGGCGGCTGGCGCTCCCCGGGGCCGGGCGTCTGCTCAGCCTCGCTCGTCTCCTGCCATCTCTGCTGCAGCACGTGCAACGATGTGCCACGTGCAACGACGCCCCTCAACTTCCTGGCCCTTGCATTCCCGCCGCGGCGTGATGCTAACCTTGGGGCCGCCGCTCCTCCAGACCGTGTTGCCCCCCCCGCTGGACTTGTGTATATAGAACCTGAGCTAGCAGTCGCTGTCCTGAATTCTGGCAAGTTGTAGGCACCTGGACCCGGTGCCTGCGAAAGAGCAACTTGAGATGGAAATCTGTTTCAGGGTCCTTTCAAGTCGCGCTGCGCGCCAGCGGCCGCCACGTCAGTCTGTGTTGCTGCTGTGCGATCCGTTTCTTCAGTTGTTAGGGTACTTCATTCATTATTCAATTAATATGCACCGACAGGGAGACCGAAGCGGTAATGAAGACCCCGGGGGGCTGTACTCGACAAGACTGCCTTTTCTGGTCAGTATGCAAAGGTGATCATCCACGACATTCTGCTCGCCTGGTACTCAGAATTCAGACCACGGGATCATGTATAGTACTGACGCTTTATCAGCCAGTGCAGGAAAACGAGATTCGAGTTTTCTTCGTGTCAACCGACATTTGAGACGAGCTTCCAAGCCGACAGAAGAAAATGCCAACACGTGCCTGCACGGGATGCTCGTGAAACATGGAGGATGTTTAAGGGTGTGCCGGTCGGAGCTTGCTGGCAATAGTCAGAAGATTATACACTTCATCGACACAGCTAGTCCTTCATCAAGCGATGTGATTACGAAGTATAAGCAGCCGAGTCCAACATGGTACTCGCACCCTCCACGCTGACGTGATTCTTGGCAAGAAAGACGATGATGTAAGGAGGGGCACACTGGGCCATTGCGAGCACTTTCGACTCGCGCTGAGGTTTACAGCACCAACCCGCGGTGAAAAGGTGTGGAAAGACTAGGAGGGCTTAAGCGTTGCTTGCTTTCACTGCTTGCGCGGCCTGCATTGCATCTCCCGACTAGTCTGCTTGCCATTGATGTCGTTACGCATGAGGCCGCAAACATCTTTGACGCGTTTCAGGCCATTCTGGATGGTGTGCAAAGGCGTTTCTTCCCGCAATGAGAACCTTGTCACAAGCACGATCCGAGAAGTAAGCATGTTCTCAATCCGTGGTTTCCTTGGAATGAAGATAATGAAGGAATCAGCAAAACAACTTGGGCCGAGAAATCAATAAACCACGCATAGGCACCACAGCTCGCACTGCTGGCACAAAAACACAGCTTTCAACAGTCTCTGTGTCGAAGGTCGCAATGTTTGAGGGCGTGGGGGAAACAGGTACTCAGCAGTAGTATCCAATAATAGTTCCGAGATTGTCTTAACTGCGTGTCGTCGCACTTCCTTTTTCAGCAGTTCATAGCACGCGGATCTTCCAGCACCAAGAAAAATTTGCGACTGGACATCCGGTAACAGTCTTGCATCGAATCGAAACGCCCATCATCCCGCCCCCTTATGTCTTATGATGTATCCGGTAATATAACCTGTTCCACCCCTTGGTATGCCAGCAGCCTGCAAGAAGGATAAGGACAAGGTACTGCAGAATGCTTTCGGACGGACGTCTTGCCTCATGCACTGGAAGCTCCCCCAAATTCCTGGCCTTTTGGCGAGGCTTCGTCTGCTTCACCTGCCGTAGGTAGATATATTTATAAACGGATCTAGTCTTCGCACCCTTCTCAAGCGAACCTCTCGTCTGGGTGTGCACGAGATTTTGGTGGCATCGCTTCCAAGGACCATTGTAACCCTTAGCACATGCACAATATGCACAGGTCACGGCAACTCCTTCTACTCGACTGTTTGAATCTCAGCCTTCTAATAAGAACCCAGCGGCGAGTAGGAGCCGGGACCAGGAGTGCGATTCCTGAGAGCCCGCATCAAAGCGATACAGCACAGCAGCACAGTCCTGACAGTGCTTTCATTACCTGAACAGGCGCGGTGTGTAGGCCTCCGACACCAGCTTCACCAATCTGGAGTCCGTCCCGAACCCAAATCGAGGTAGCCTCTTGTGCCTGCGCCGTCTGAGGAGACCAGGCGAGGCGGCGAGAAGGATCGGAGGCCTGGAATTCAGATCCGCGCTTGGATCCATGTAGCTTCCAGGACCTGGAGCTTTAGGCCTGCCGAAAGGGCAAACACGCCACGAGCGAAGGCTCCCTGCTTTTACGCTGATTGCCGGCCTGCTTTGGCTTCCCTTTGCTCGCGAACCGAAGCTAAACCTCAGGCTTGCACGCGAAGGAGAGGTCACACGGAGCATCTGCTTGGATCTGCTGAGGGATCTGGGGGCCGCAGCTTGGGGGAGGCCATCGAGGTTGACAAGGCCTGCAAGTGACGAAGCACGGGATGAAGTGCTCGAAGATTCAAGGACTCCCAGCCTGAAATGCCCTGCCGGCATCTGGGGCATCCTGGGCTTGCAAAGCGGCTCTCGGCCGCGCTACCTGCCGACGTGTGCCGTGGCCAATGGGGCACCGGGGAGACAATGTGCTGCTGGCCTCCGCCTCGAAGCTGGGCGTGGCTTGCTGAGTCGGTCCTGCCTAGAAAGAAGCATTTGCTCTCGCTCTGACCTGACCTTGACACGTGGCCGTGGCCTCTGCTGGGATGTCGTTGCCTTCGAGATCCTAAAGCAGCTACAGCGAGCACCACTGCACCAATCTATCTGGATGGCAGTCACGATGCCACGGCAATGTGCTTAGGAAACGAATCTTGCTTCAAGGCGAGGGCGGCTTCTGCAACTACAGACTACAGGTAGCAATCCCCCCGAGCCGCGGACAGACTGCCTCAAACAGGCAAGCAGATGCCCACACGCCCTGCAATGCCAGAAGTGTCCTCTCCCTTTCAGCCCAGGAGCGTGACATCGACGAGCATGGCCACAATTTCAGCTGCTTATGAGAATCGTGAAACTGAGGAACTATAGTCTGGTGTAAGCAATCCGAAGTGCTACGGAGAGAATGACACGCTGCTGCAGATGCCTCACGTTCGAGCCAGACTGAAGACATAACCGCGACTTAGTCTTGTCATGCCTTGTCTGCAGGCGCTGCCTCGAGACCACCCAACCATTTCCCACGATACTCGCTCCAGCGATCTGTCGAAAACGAAAACATACACCACGACACAGCGGGAGCATGCAGAAGCCACGGGCAACTGCAACCAAATCCCCGACGCTAGACATCCCACGGCGTTGCTGCACCGTCCTTGCCCAAGCAAGGCACTTGGCACAGCTTCATGCAGGATGCTGAAACTTTCACGCAAACAGTTTAGTCACCTTGTGGTTCGTGGCTGTCCGGCAGCCAGCATGTGAAGTGGCAATTAAGCACAAGGTCCTAGGCAAGAGTAAGGCCTCGCGGGGTAGGCTGCTGTCTGCTCCCTCATTTCGTTACTTTGTCCAGGGCATCAACGCCCCGCTCCTGAAGTCTCCTATAAGGTGCCTTACTTGCAAAGCCAAACCCTCGCAAGCAACACTATCCAAGATTTTGCCGCCAAGACCCTCAAGCAAACGATCTGATGCCGAGCAGTGACTTTGCACTGAACTAGACTGCGGATAACATACTGGCACGGTGGCATGTCGTGCAGCATGGTCCTTAGCCTGCGAATTCTCTGTTCCGCCTGGCATCATCGCTGCACCTCCGCCACTACATTCCGTTGTGAGACTTCGGGTCTGGCAGACTTCAGCATGTACGGCGCTGAATTAGTCCTGAGCCTCCTGGAAGGCACACCAAACCGAAGCAAGCAAATGCAAGCGAGCGAGCAAGGAGCCAGCGACATGGACGCTGCTGGCCTCCTTCGGTTTCGTGGCCTCCGGCTCCGGATCCTCCGCATCTGCCTCCGCTTCTCTCTGGGAAAGGAGCAGCACATCAGCACTCCATGCGTTTCCAGTGCTTGGCAGGTCCCGCGCGGTCCCGCCTCCGCCCCAGCAGCCGGCTCCTCTCGCGGCTCCTTTCCTGCCTCCACCTCCGGCTCCTCCGGCTCCTCCGGCTCCTTCTCCTTCGCTTCTTCGCTTTGGCCCTGAGAACTACCGGCCGCATCGACCTGACGGGAGTCGAATCTGGCAAGAATATAGCACTCGATCAAGGCGCAGCTCTGCCCGCTCTCTACCAGGGATGGGATGTTTGCAGTGTCTAAGGGCCTCTTGGCCCAGCGCGCTCGCCTAGTGACCTCTTGTTCCTGAGGGAGCCGCCGCCTGCCCCCTGTCGCCACGCTGTGCCTCCACCTGTCGATGTCTTCCATCGCGGACCAGCTACTTCTACTACAGCTCGGGAACTCAAGATGCTTCTGCTTCATGCTATCACGCCCGGCTCGGCAATTGCATGCAGTCATGTTCACGCTCACTGACTAATTGGTTCTGCGATTTATCTGTGATTCGGATCATTGAATTTTGTGTGATGCGCTTACCGTCTGTGATTTCTCCCTGTGAGTTGGATGTTGCTTTTCTCAGATTTTTTCGTGCTTGGAGATATGAGCCTGCGATTTGCCGGTAATTTGGCTTTGATTCTGCTGTGATTCGGGAACCCGCCTCCGCAGCAGAATCACAGCCAAATCGTGGCCAAATCACTGTCACTGACAGACATCACAGAGGCGCGTCCCAGCAAAATCACAGACCCCAAGCACAGCACAATCACAGATAAATCACAAATGCTAGAGCTTTCCGGGAGAAGGCCATCTCAAGTCTACAGGTGTGCACCACAAACGAACAAGAAAAGCAACTTTCAACCGGATTTCATGGCCGTGCCCTTCCAGGCCAACGAAGAAGTGGCACTGTTTAGGGTGCAAACGTAGCTTGGTCCAACCGGCCTCGTGAGAGACCTCGTCGCACGATTTGAGACCAACCGCTTTCCGACTGTAAAGTGTGTGGGGCCGGGGTGCGTGTGTGGACGTGCGGTTTGCCGGCTGGCTGGCAGAAGCAATTCTGTGAACTCTCTCATGTCGAGAGGGGCGCCGGCAAGTTGCCGCCCGAAAAATGCCATGTTGGTTGGCGGAGACTTGCAGATGTGTTTTGATTCTTCGAGCAGGACACGAGAGAACGCAAGTAGCACAGGTCGAGACTGGTCCGAGACGAGCATCTGTTCCATGTATGAAGCGGTTTATGATGCTTTACGTATTCAGTGCTTTGTAGTGGTAGCACAATCCTTGAGACCTTGCCTGGGCCTCCAGCTCACGCACCTCTTCCTGGCAACGCAAGAAAGAACCATCAGCGAGGTCCCTCTTGCTCATAGCTAGTCCTACACTAAAGACAACAATGCAGAAGCAACTCTATGCCTTGCAAGAGAATGCAAAGACATTCGAAAGTCCGTCCGTTCAACGATGAGAAAATCCGAAGGATTTGTGCTCGAGTTGGTGGTTGCACCACTGTACAACATGACTTTGCTCATACCAAACCTGCTTTGCACTCAAGCTATCTAGAGCGGGCTCAGATTCTGTAGGACTGTGAGGAATAGGTCACAGAAAATATGGGTTCAAGCCAGGTCTGCAAAAGTTGAAGTCGCCTGCAACTTCTCCATTTCCAGCTTCAGCTCGCCTGTACGAATATCAAAAGCTGGCTGTGCTGCGGAGATCTGTATTGATATGTCTATTGCAGCTTGGAACAGTTCGGACGAGAGGCTTAACACATTGACGCCCTCCGTGAGCGCAGCTGCAGCTGGCCTGCAGAGATCAAACAGAGCCAATGAATGTGAATCGCCACTTGATGGGAGCCGACACGGGCCCCGCGCGTCTTAGAATTTTGCGAGAGCCACTTGATCATGAAGGGAGCAAGCCTTCCAAAATGAGACTCCAAAGAAGGCTCGATCCTCCAAAGTGCCATTTGATGTCAAAGGGGCTGCTCAGGCCGTTCCAGCAGCAGCTGTGTGACCTCTGCTTCGGGCTTTGGGCTTGTTCGCTTTTTGGGTTCGGCTTTCAATGAAAATGCATATCCTTTAAGAAGCGCTCCAAATTCTCAAGAATCGGGTTCACCTTCTGCTGGATGTACTCTTGTGGCTCCTGAATGGTCACTCTTTCGGGCCAGGCCGAGTGCCCGTTGCAGACGGACTACCGGTCCTGTGCCATTCTGGCCAATGTGGGGCAAGGCTCACGAGTACCCATTCATGTCTACAAGTCTTACATAGATCAAGCTCGACCTGGGACCCAGCGATCTAGACTGGCAGATCATGTCGCATGTTAACATGTTCTTCGAGGACTCTGGTTTTCGGAATCTGTGGATGTATCGAAGATTGCCTGGATGAGGCTAGCCAGAAACAGCCGCAGCATATGGCGGCGCCAATCTCCTTAGTCCTTTGCTTGGCTAGTCAAGACAACACCCCATACTGCTGCTACACTCACCTCAGCACCTGGCTCACGTCCATGGCCACTCCGCGCAACTCCGTCGATCGTGTCCAGGCGCGTCCGTGCGCTCGTTGGCACGAATGCAGGGCATTTACAACAGGCCGCCAGCCCGCATACGGTCTAGCTTTGGCGAATTCCGGAAGGACTTGCAGCAGCAGCTGCCGGCTGTTCCTGGTAGTGCGACATGCGCAGAGGCTGTTGTGTGATCAGTCAACATGCAGGGAAGATGTCCTTGCAGCACGGACACCAGCGAATGACGAGCATTATCACTCCAAGCAAGCATAAACCGCCTGCCAGTCTCGCTGCAATTGAATGCAACACGGAAAGCTGATTGGATATCAAATCGAAGCAGGTTAATGCGCACAGATTAATCACGATGATCGTGGAGGCATTGACTGCAACGAACTGCCAATCACGAACACCTGGCAGCAAGCCGGCAGCCTCCTAGAACTATGTAGACCATCATCCAGAAGCCCCAAGACTGCAGCAGAAATATGGAGATCGAACCTGGGCAAAGGACTGCAGGACTCCACAAAACAAACTCGTGGCCTGCGGCGTGTGTCTGAGAGATCGGCCAACATAAAAATAAAATAAAGCTCGACCTGGCATGACGCTTTGTAACTGCCAGAAGATTCGCCTCGGCCCGGGCCGAATGCAGAAGCGGTCACCGGGCCGAGGCACATGACGCGAAGCGTTTACAATTAAGACGTGTCTGCTGACCGGTTTGGCTCGCCAGGAACTGGCAGTAAAGAAATATCCTCAGCTGCGTGACGGCTGGACCCAGAGCGTCAGACGTATCCGACTCAACCCGCTTTGTCGATCTGTCTGTCTCTCTCTGTCCTTCTTTCCTTCTGCCGGGCTTAGGGGTGCAGGCGTTAAGCCCGCTCTTGCTTGTTTGCTTGCCGCGGGTCCAGGTGCAGGCGACTGGACCCGCGCTGGAAACGCCCCCCCGCTGAACTTTAGCCCGCATCCGGCCTCGTCCCCATGCCCCCTATGGCCAATCCTATAAGTACCTCCAGCAACCGAATTCCCCCGAGCAAGACCCGTAGTGGCAAGTGGGTTCCACCAACAACACAACACACAAGACTGCTTAGAGCGTGACCGTATGCAACTTTCCCCCACTGCTGCCTGGTTGGGCCCACTACTGAACTCAAGCATCGTAGTGAAAGTAACGTTCTGGAACTGTGCACTGGTGTAATACAACAGACAACAATCTGAGAGGGATGCTCTGGAGGAATGTTTGAAGGGCTTGCAGGATTCCGAATATTCGAGGAGGGCAGGCTCCAAGCGAAGGGAATTTAATTCAGGTTACAAGGCTTGCTGCAGGTGAATGACAAAGGCTGACTACATCTAAGCCTCGCTTCGCAGGGGAAGAGTCCACGTCGTGGCTTTGGGGTCTTCAGCGGTAGGGGGTGTGTTCCCCCGTTCGGTAATAATACCGGAGCATCGCCGCGCTCTCTTAAGCATAATCCTCGGTCCCTCGCCGAACATTTTCCCCTTGTTGACCCAGCGGTTTGCGACAGGATTCCCCTTTTTGTGCAGCAACAACAACATAGGAAACCAAGGCCTGGACAACGATATAACGGCAGTACCAAAGCTCGGGGGACCCCAGTGTATGATTACACCTCTTGCATGGCTCCAAGTCCACCCGCACGTTTGTTGTGCGGGGATGCGGGGGGTGACGAACGAGTATAATCTCTCCTGAAGCTGCCCTCTCTCTTTGCATTGCGCTGCTCTGGGGCAAGGAGAAACGGCAGTCCCCTTTCCCCCCTCGCGTGAGCAGCCCCGTCTCTCCCCCTCTGTGTCTCTCTCTTTGCTTTGCTCTGGGGTATGGAGGGCAGGCAGGCCCTACCCACCGCTCCTGGGAGCGGCCCCATCCCGCCATTTTGACGGAATGGGCTCGGCTGTACTGAGACTTCGCAAGAGTTTGGTGCCCATGTGTTGTCCGTGAGAATCAAAAACCAATACGGTCTCTCTCTTTTCTTTCGCCAGGGCTATGGTGTAGGAGATTTCCTCTACTCTCTTTTCTTTCTGCAGGGCTTAGGGGGTCGCCAAGCGACCCTGCCCTATTCTCTGTCTCGCTCTCTCTTCTTCTTCTGCAGGGCTTAAGGGGCTTGTCAGGCCCCCCGGCCTCGTGGGCCCCCTGTTTGTTACGGGGCTTTCGGTAGGTCGTGCAAATTTGATGGGTTCCCCCAGGTTCATTCGAAGAAAGTGTATTGGACTATAAAGCACCTAGGATCACCCATGTTTCTTGACACATGCAGCCAACTTCACTCGTGGGTACTGGACAGGCTATCTCTCTCTCTCTCTTTCTCTCTCTCGGGCATAGAGGCCGGTCAGGGCCCCCGGGCATCTTGCCCACCCGAAGTCTTTTCGGGATTGGGGGGCGTGAAGATCGAGCGTATCCCATCAAACGACTAAAGCCATATAGTATGCCACGGACACATGCAAAGTCACCAACATTCCCCCGCTGTTTAAAGAAACAAACATTAACAAATAATTTATGCACAGCATCAGGAAAGTTTGGCCCCTTCATCGGCTTCACGAAGGAGTAAACCGGTCTAACTATGTTTTAAAGTAAATCTCCCCCGTAGTACTCGAGGCAGTGTTGTTTCCGGACGGGCAGTTCGTGTTTTTGCACAGTGCATGTAGCTGGTGATACAGTTGATCCTTCTCGAGAAAACGAAAACACTAGCTAAGCCATGAGGGGATGCCCCAAGTAGGAACAGTAACTACAACCGCACTGTGGGATCAACTGTTCGCTCGCTACTCTTCAAGCACATCAGCGACATCCCGCCCGCTATGGTACTTCCCGCCGACGAGCCTCCCCCTTTCTCAAGTCGATCCAGCCTTTCGTTCACTTCACGGTTTGCCTCTTGAAGTTGCTTCAGGACGTCCCCCTGGGCTGTGTACTTGGAGGTCATGTCATCGAGCAGGTTGAGGGTCTGCTGCATCTTCTGGGTGACTTGATTTTCCACATTATCGACCCGGGCTGCGAATCCCCGAATGTCATGCTTGACGTCAGACAATGCATCTTTGAGTTTTCCTCCGATGGCCTCCCGAAGGACATCGATATTGAGTGCCAGGTTGTCAGACTGTTCTTGGGCTCTGCGCTTGAGTGGGGATCTTCCCCCCCCCTGCTGATCAAATGCCATTTCCTGACCGGCTGCCGGCTTGGCCATGGTTGAGAAGGCACGGATTGCGAGCTCCCCGTCGTGCAGGTAGTGCTTCAGTCACGTAGGTGATGGTGTCCCCCGCCCACGGTGTACTTGCGGTGGGTCGTGCCGAGCAGGTCGTGCCCCTGTAGGCTCGCCGATCCCGTAGGGCTCGATGGTGTGGATGCACAGAAGGGTCAGGGCGAAGGAGCCGTACTGGACCGTCCCCCTCGAACTCGCCCGATGGAGCGTTGGCGAGGTAAACGCGTAGGCGTAGTAAGACAAGGAAGTAGTGCTGGTCGCGCTTATGAGGCGAAGAGGCACACACTCTCTCCCCCCTTGTTGGTTGGAGGCCCTCTCTCATTGCACAGGGCCCGGGCCTTGAACCACTCACGGCTTGAGCCAATCTCGCTCTCTCTCTTTCTCTCGCTATCTCTCTATCTATCCCACGTGGATATAGAACGTCGCGATGGTGGGTTTGTTCTTCGTTTGGATCCCTATTGCTGCTCATGTGGATTCTTTGACAGTCTCGAGAATCGAAATACTAGACGACTGCTGCGCTGAAACGTCACAATGATATCAGTCTGAAACGGCAAGACACCCCATTCTTGCGAAAACAAATGCCCAATCCATCGCGCTAACCTGGTTCTCCCCACAAGCCCCCCGCACCAAACCACACCATGACAGGAGCGGTGGGCGGGTGGGCACTGACACGGCGACCATGTCGCTGCACTTCCTGATCTGTACACACATTTATGGCGCTGGGTTTTGCAGCAGGAAGATGCAGATGGACTGACATGCCTGTGGCCTTGTCCTGCAACTGCTTAGATATAGCCGTGGAATTACAAGTGGAGCAGCAGTGATTCAGTGACCTCAGGCTGTTTGGTTTGCAGGCCTTGTTCCACATCTGCATAGCATTGTACATCTGAAGCAACGACGCGTTTGTCTGTGCTTTGAGTAGAGACTCCAGGCATCGCACCACTCAGAAAGCCAAGACGTGTACTTCAAAATGCGCCCGCACAACAATTGTCTTTAATCTTTGCTTCGATACTTTAACCCGTTTTGGGTCACACACTGCACGTCCTGTCGGAGATATTGACTACATAAGCCTAGTTCGCAACCATAGACGCGACACATGTACTATCATCATCTGGGCCCATCTTGTCCAACATCATGTTTTCTATTCGGCTAGGAGTACAGTTTTGAGTCGGCCGCGTTTTTCAAGAACCGTTTGTGAGCCTTGTCGAGTGTGCATGGGGATACTGCAGGCGCAGGAACGTTGGGCTGTGCGATTGGGAGCTTGCAGTCCAGTCCCCCGCGTGACCCCTCCCACAACCCCTGCCATGGTGACGAACCTAGACAACCCACGTACCCAAAACTATGCAAGATGATGCAAGTGGTCCACCAAGACCGATCCGATTTAAGGGGGATGAAAGCACATTTACAACAAGGGAAACCAATTCAAAACCAAATGGAGGTTCGCAGCCGCGCCGATGAAATTCGCACGCTTCACTGACCCTCAGTATAAGATATGAAGGTTGTCCACGGCGGCCGGCAGATTCTCGGTAGACCCAGGCCCAGAGCTCTGCTGTTTTCGCAGCATGT